ATCACACCTTCCACTGCTGCTGGTAAGATGACAAAATGGTAGTCACTGGAAAACAATTTGGTAAGTTCTTATAGAGTCAAACCGACAATCACCATATGAAGAGCAACACTTAAGTATATATGAAAAAGAACTAAAAGCAGTCATACAAGCGATAACCTATGACCCAGTGTTCACTGCAGAATTATTCACAATAGCCAAAAGGTGGAATTACTACTCAAAATGTTCATCAGCAGACAAAAGGATAAACAAAATGTGCTAAATACATATAAAGAACTCTTAACTCTGACATAAAGAAAAATAATAGTTTTGATACATCCTACAAGTGGGATGTACCTTGAAAATATCAAGCTAGGTAAACAAGTCACTCAAGAAAGGAGAAATACTGTATGATACAATGTATAGGAAAGATTTGCAACTGACTGGAGTACAAAAACTGGGGTAAGATGGTTACCGATAGGAGGTGGAAAGGAGAGAGTAAGAGTTTCTTAATCACTCAGGAAAGGTGAATGGTTCAACAAATGACGGACATAATTATTCAGTGATGACTACTGAAGATTAATAACATGTGAAGATTGAAGAAACCACAAAAGTTCTGTTACACCCAAGAGAACAAATCAAACCAAAAAATACCCACATCATCAAAGGACAAAGACTCCCAATGGAAATAGGTTAAAGTTAACTATCTACAGCTGACGGAAGGAAAAGAGACCCATGGAAAAATAAAGCCTCAGATTGTGATGGCTTCTGATAATTTCATGCAACTTTCAGGAAAGAAATAGCCTTTGAAGTAAGCCTTGTTAATAAAGTATCAGATAATGCCTTGATTCATCGCTGTCTCATTTACAGAGGGTAAAAAGGTGAAGAAAGGCTAAATTTTTCCAACATAAAGTGGAAATCCCATATTATGTGTAATACAGTGACCCATCACTGAGTCATCAACTTTAAAAAAAGAAATGTGTAACACACTTACAAATAAAAATCAGTTTATATGCTTTCTTTTCCCAAAAGCAGAACAATGAGTGATGCACTGCAAAAAAAAGGGCAGGCTAAGTTGGAATCCAGCTCAAACAACTCTGCACCATGACATCCAACCACTCCATACAGCTCAATTTCGGAGAAGAAATCAACCACACAAATGCAAAATAGATCTGATTTTACAGGCTATTTCATAACAGGACTAATTTCGACGAAATAACCAGTAGATTTTTAAAAATTCCTACAAGTGTTACGCTCAAGTGACTAAGAAGTATCATGACTGCAATTTCTGGTAGGTTTATTGTTGTTTTAAAACCAGGAAGCCAAAGGACAATACAAATTTATGTTGCAGATTTCAACATATCTATTTCAACAACAGCTGTTTCTTCTCTGAAACCACAAATTGCACAGGCATCATCAAATTCTAACAATTTATAGAATTGTTCTGGGAAGTGTGGTCTTACTACTACAATTTCTTGCTGTTTCTGCCGCCCTTAACGTCTGACCAACTCAAGCAAAACTCAAGAGCCTGAAGACTCGTGATGGTCATAATACTATGAAGACCTGGAAAATTTCCTACGTTCTTTGGGCTTGATCAGATAACTTCACCACGGCACAGCAAATGAAAAACTACCACACGCCTAAGATTGATTCTTGATACACAAGACACGCAGCTTGTAGGAGAATGGTCTTAAAATTCCTGCTGTAGAAGCACATTTGCTCTGTAACCCTAAAAAACAATCAAATTTTACTGTCACATTTGGAGAAGGCAAATGGGAAGTTATGCTTGCATGGCACAATAACGTTTCTAAATGCAACTGGGATGGAAAAGACATGGAATTTGTTTATGCAGAGGAGGGCTTCATCTTTTCGAGGGAGTTATGCGAACAGACACCCTTGTTATCTGTTCCACAAAAAACCTCTTCTGAGCTTTTTTTGACAGAAGAGGCGGCAGTAGTGGGCCTGTCCGCAATCTCGGACTCTTTTATTTCCATTCTTAAACTCAAACTCTTGAGTTTGTAAAGACAGTACATAAAGTCTCTCCTGCTTTACTCATCTATCATGGAATTTTCTTCTTTGGAGAGGATAAAGCACAAAGGCCTTACTATCCATGTGTTAACTGGCACATCCTAGAGAAGACAGGGATGGCATCAAGACACCCATTTTAAAGACCAGAAGACCAAGTTCATCAAAACAACTATGAGATAGCATCTCACCCCAGTAAGAATAGCAAAATTTAACAGAACAGCAAGCAACAAATGCTGGCGAGGTTGTGGAGCAACTGGAACCTTTACTCACTGTTGGTGGGAGTGTAAAATGGTGCAACCACTGTGGAAGGCGGTATGGCACTTTCTCAAAAAGTTGCAAATAAAAATACCATTTGACTCAGCAATTCCACTACTGGGAATATACCCCAAAGAGACCATAACTGCCACCCAAGCAGATACATGCACACCCATGTTTATTATGGCTTTGTTCACAATAGCAAAGAGTTAGAAACAACCTAAGTGCCCATCAACAAAATGGATAGAGAAGCTGTGGTATAGTCACACAATGGAATATTATGCAGTGTCGAAAAACAAGGTACTCATTCAATATTATACAAAATGGGTGACCCTGGAGGACATTATGCTGAGTGAAATATCTCAGTCACAAAAGGACAAATACTGCATAGTGCCACTGTTGCAAAACGGGACTGACACTGGGGTTCCGGGAATAAATTATGTGTACTGCATTGAAACAGATGAGGGAGTGAACTGTTTAAAAGGGATATGTGATTAGGTATTATTGTCATGACAGGAGTCCAGAACAAAGTCTGCACAGTGGAGTGTGGACTTGGGGGGGAGGGACTGTATAATAATGAAAGAATTTTTCTTTTACTTTTCAAAAAGAACAGCAAACTGCGGGGAGGGGAGGGCAGGGAGAAAAGTGCAATAACGAAATGAATGGAAATACAAAGTCTCTGTAAACTTTCATTAAAATTACTTTTCTTTAAAAAAAGGGAGGGAAAGACCAAGTTCAGATCATACAGTCAGCAAATTAGATAAGTATAGACTCTCGTCCACTGGAACCCCATCAATCATGTTTTCCCACTTACAGAACGTAGTTTTCTTTTTCATTGAAAACTTGAGGACTCACCTTGAGTACCCCTCTATAACCACTAGACACAGGAGCCACCTGATCCATGTTCTTGATTCCAAAGTCATTCATCTGAAAAGAGGAAAAGAATGAGAATCAGAGGCAAGCACATTCAAAGAAGAGCACGTTCAAGAAGTCCCCAGGAACAACATCAATACTAGCTTCTGGATGGGCCGGCCAGGTGTTACAGTCTCACAGGTACAAAGATGTCCAATCTCCTCCTATGCAATATACAGCCTCTGAAAATCCACTGAAGGGTCAGCTCTGAGTTGGTTCAGACCAAGGGCAATGAATGAGTCTTATTTCAAAGGCCTTTCATTCAAACAAGCATCTCGAGCAGAAACTATTCCTCAGGACCACTGGGTATGCTATTTAGATAAGTGAATACCAATGTTGGTTTCCCACTGAATTCCACTGAGATATGAGGAAACAGACATGCTGATAAAGTCTCTTTCTGGTGGTTTCCCAGTGGAGCCTAGCTGCAGTGGCTGAGCAAGGGGAGAGGCGAGGAAGAAAGCCCTGTGTGGCCATTCTTGGGTCAGCCTGGGGCCCAGACCTGTCCAGCTGCCTCCTGTTCTACACAACTACACAAACAGTGCCAGTGTGTGAGCCCAAGAGCACCTGAGGAGGGGGCTGGCCCCGCAGCTCCCAAGGATCCAGACCAAGGAATGTCTTCTGGAGAAGTTTCCACCATCTTTCCAAGTTATCCAGAACACACACAATCAGGAAGGGGATTTAAAAAAAAAAAAAACAAAACAAAAAACCACCAACTGCTTCAGCCAAAACCCTCATGCATTTCCCCAGAGTTTCCAGTGGTGGATACAGAAGCTCAAAATGTTTCTGCTTTGAGTATGGCTCAGCCTTGCATTTCTACAAGAGGAAGTGATTCTGATGATGACTCGGTCTCGCTCTTTAAACTAAGTCTCTGCTGGGCACAGTGGTCACGAGCCATGTGCAGCTAGTGGACCCTGGAAATTAGGCCAGCTTGAAGGGAGGGTTGCTGAAGAAAGGCCTGGCAACCCACTTTCATGCAAATTACAGCCAAGAATACCTAACAGATCGTTCTAGCTCTTTAAAATACATAAAGATGCCATGAGTCAAATGGGACTCCACGGCCATCCGTGTGGTTTTGAGGTTGTGTGTGTGTGTGTGTGTATGTGTGTGTGTATATGTGTGTGTCTGTGTGTGTGTGAGAGAGAGAGAGAACTACATTTCAAAGATTTAGCACTAAAAAAAATCTTTTTCTGTATTTAAAAAATTTCTGTATTTACGGGTTTCTTATAAAATATTTTGAATATGTTGTTAGATGAAATCTATTGAAATGAATTTCACCTTTTTTCACAATTTTTAACACAGTTATTAGAAAACTTAAGATGGCATAGATGGCATGCAGCAGGAATAGACCTAAAACTTATCTGGGGCCTGATAATGAATATGTCCGGCCAGGTAAGTCATACACTAACAAAAAGCCCTACGAGAGTGTTAAAAAGACAGCAACTAAACCTTATTTTCAAATAAGTGAGCACCAATAATGGAGCTTCTCAGTCCTGCAGAGACACTGCAGTCAGTGCTACTCACTGATCTGAGATACTCACTCAACAGTTATTCGGGTCAAGTCCAACCAGACCTGCCTGAAAAATCAGCCCTCAAGAATCCAACGGCGCACGGCGTCTACTGTGATACTTGTGAGACACCCCAAGTGTGATGGCAGATGGTCTAGAAGGGGGAACTGCAAGTTTAACTCCGGGGTGCATCCTTCCCACTCCCCACTCCATGACTACAGAACTGAAAATCCGTAACAACGTCGGATGGGGGAGCCCTAGCTGACCTCTTCTCTTGATGGTGGCTCCCCACCTGTAACAAACAGCGTCTAGAGTTATTCCGTAATTGAGATCACTAACTGGAAGCAGCAATGAAAATCCTCTCTGGTGGCCTAGTCAGTTGTACCACCAATCCAAAGGTGCGTGGCTCCTGGGAGAAAAATGGGATTTACAGCCTCTGAGGGTCAGCTATGAGTTCAAGTTCTTTTGAGGTTATGCAGTCTGTAGGGAGTTGTGCAGCTAACACAAAGGCCACGTCTCTATGGCAGTTTGAATCTGCCGCTGAGAAAAAATAGGCAATCTCCTCCCATGCGATTTATGGCCTTGGAAGCCCAAAGCAGGGTCAGCTATCAGTCTGTTTTGACAAAACAGCAAGGAATTTTGTGAGTCATGTAACTATTTAAATTCATGTGTGTACATTCTTGTTTTCTCCACACACAGCCCCCACCAACAGCAAAAAAACAAAACAAAACAAAAACAGTGTGGGAGGCAAGAGGCATTGGAAAGCACTGTAAAATCGCCTGCCATGCCAGTAATTATGGTAGCTAAGATAGGCAGGAGAACTAGATAATAATCATACAGTAGTGGGTGGCAGAGGGGCTGACCTGGGATCAAAAGTGGCCACAAGGCTCCCGTTCAACTGTGCCATCCACATTCACACAAGAATCAATATTCACTATTAAGAATCACTGCTGCTAACAGATGCCTGTTCTGGGCCCATCCATCCCCACCTCTCTGAATCTCTACCATCCATGGAGTTGGTCGGCCATCTTTCAGGAACACTGGAGGTCACTTGCTTTGGATCCCACAACTATCATGGCGGGGAGCAACTATAGAGTAGAGTAGGAACCAAATCACAGTTGCACGTGATCCCAAACCATGTGTGGCCTTCAGTCTCCACATCTCCACAGAGCAGCGAGAGCACACAAAATATTAGATGGGCCTTTTCTGGGTGGTAATGAAATAATCACTATCTGCCACCAATGCTCTGTGTGAAATCCTCCTTCACTTAGAAACGAGTCCTTCACTACAGCTCACTTATTTGGATGAATTAAATCATGCTAACCTGTTGATCAAATAGATTAAATAAACAAACCTCGAATCAAAGGATAAGACAACACTCATCTCAGGTTGGTCCAGTATCTATCTCTATCTAGAACACGGCAAAACCTGGTGCCATCGTATTGATTCCAACTCATGCCAACTGTGCTGGATCGATGACTGGTTTTCCAGAAGTAGATGACCAGACCTTTTCCCTAGGCACTTCTAAGTGGACTTGACCCGCTCATTAACCTTTCTGCTAGATGACTAGGAGCTTTAAGTTACATGTTCCAACTTCACAGAAACGGCAAGGAGAAATTCTGTGCCTGGCTTTTGTGTACAAATACCAGGAGAAAAGGCAGCCTACCACTCCCACATAAAGAGCTATAATTACTAGCTACAGAATAGAATTCTTTTGTTGTCCGGCTCTTAATGAGTTTTGTAAAAACCATGTAGAATCAAAGTGCTCTTCTAAATGGTTTCAGGCAGGCACATCACTAATCAAATTTAAGTTCATTTACTTTACACAACACAGCTTGTTAAAGTGACACACATGCCAAGTTTCTTCATATAAATCAATTTCAAGTTTAGGTCCTTTTGGTGTTGCCGTATCGATTACTGCTTTGAACAACAAACAACACGCTGTGTGTAGAACTGAACCAGTAGAAAAGAATGACTGAGATTGGTTAAATTTTCTAAGTTATGTATTATTAAAACACAGGTTTGTGTGTAGGTAAATTTGAAACCAACAAAAACCAAAAAAAAAAAAGCCCGTAACACACTTTGGAAGGTTGGTTTTGCTTTTTCGCTTTCAAAGTTATCAGTTTATAGAGATGAATGACTAATCTCAGAAATGAGTGTGTGAATGTATTTCCCTGCAGGATACTTGGTGCTAACATTTACTGTGCTGGGATATTACTCAGAATTTTAATAAACCTTAACAGTAGAGATTTATCTAGGTGATTGCTGGCAGTGTGGGCAGGCAGATAACACATCTCTTCCATTGTATGGAACACACATAATCTTTTGCTAAATTATAATAAATTACTCCTATCTCCAAAGGGGCCTTCTCACTTACTTTCTAAATATGTCTTTCACAATTGCTATTTCTGTCTTCCCTTAAATTTGGTACATACATAAAAAAATACTCAAAAAAAAAATACTCCTGTGTTTTAAAAACAAAAAACTCCGTAAAGCTCCCAACACATATACACAGATGGTCACGTTTATGCCTTCACTCAATAAACACCAGGAACAAGAACATAAATGCAGCTTGCGCCTCCAGGTTCCCATTTCAAACAGGCTCCCTCATCGACGTTGGCTGAAAGGCCCCCGAATCCAGAGGTTCGGGGTCACCCCCAAAGCTCTCGTCCAAACGCTAGGAGTCAATGGCACACACTCCCCAGGCCTCAATTGCCCGTCTCTCCAGGATGGGCCCTAGATGTAGCTGAACAGGTGACCACAGAGTTTTGGGCTGGCACGTTTTCGGGGTGTCGTAGGTTTCCAGCTTCAAATGCCTCAATTCAGGCATTTCCTTGTCAGACCCGGTGCCGCTCTCCACAATGGGGTGACCGATAAAGTATACCCCTAACCGGGGCGCTCAAGGGCCGGGAGACCCGCAGAAGGCGCGTGGGGGCCACCTGAGCAGCCTTCGGCTTTCCCCAAAATCTTGGCGAATTCAGGCCCTTGTCCGAATTCAAAACAACCCAGGAGCGCAAATCCCTAGCAAAAAACCCTAAAGGGCCCGCACTGCCTTTTAGAAAACAAAGCCAGAGCAAAGTGAAAGAAGCGCCGCGCCGCGCCGCGCCGGGGAGGCTGCCCAGCGAGCCAGTGGCGCCGCCCGAGAGCGCGAGGCCCGGCCGGCTTGTACCGGGGTCCCAGGCGACCCCGCCGGGAACCTCGGCACGAACGTGCGCGCCCGCCCGCCCCTCGGTCACCTCCTACTGCCACCTCGTACCCGGAAAACGAGCTTAAGAGCGGAACTCGGACGCGCGCCCCTCTAATTCAGAAAGCAGTCGCCAGCCCCCACCCTGACCCCCTGGCACATGCCAGGAGTCAGACCGTGGTGTCACCGGTGCCTCCTTGTCCCATTTATGGGTCACCCATGTCAGAGAGAGGAACCAGCCACGAGAACGGGCTCTCCGCGGACGTCCAGCCCGCGCCCTCCCCGGTCTGCGTTGCGGCGGGGGCTCCAGGCACCCCGGGACCCGC